CCCGGGCCGCCCTGGCAGCCGTGCGGAGAGGCTGGAGAGCGACGGGGGGGCGCCGGGGCGCCCGACGCGCCCTGAGAGGAGGGGGCGATCCATCGGGGGTGGATACAGACGGGGGTCAGCCAGGGCGCCAGATCCTGCAGGATCCTGCGAAGACCCCCTCTGGCTGACCCGGATTAGCGAGCCGCTCGTGGCCGCGAGGCGGCCGCGCATATTGGCTGACCCGGGTTTGCGAAGATCTGCGTTGCAGCTCTTTTTTTTTTTTTTTCCTGCACTGCAGTTTTTGGTTTCCTGCTGACCCGGGTCTGGATTGACCTGTGTCAGAAGATCCCCGACGAGAGGAGAGGGCGATCCATCGGGGGTGGATAGACCTCCTGCCCTGACACGTCGATTAGCGGATTGGCCGTTCTCGGCTATCGAGGGGGCGCCGCGGCCGTTCTCGGTTCTCGAGAGGTCGTTTTCGCTGAACCGCGTTTTGCTAAAGGGGGGTTCTATCCTTCCCCGGATCCAGGTGACCGAGCGGGACGGGGAGGGGGCCCCAAGGCTTCAGTCGGGCCTGTCCCTCTACAGGGGGGCAACTCAAAAGTAGTCAAAAAGTAGTCTGGGGACCATTTTATGATTATATTTGTTTGTTGGTATTTTGGGGTATTGTTTGGCCATTTTTCAATTTTTCGTCCAAAATCACCCTGTAGGGGGACTAACCCAAGGCGGGGATTTGCAGCGGGGGCGCGCATCAAGAGACCAGGTGCTGCCTGGGCTTCTTCGCTCCGCGCGCTGCGCCAGTGACTTCCCGCAGCCGTCTGGAGAAGCTGCTGCGTTCAGGGTGCTCCGGGCTTCCCCTCAGGTGCACCTCGCGCGCGGGCTTTCAGGGTCGGGTTTCCTGCGAGGGTTTTTCGCGGCCGCGCCTGCACTGTAACCGCCGCCCATAAAACAAAAACACAGGGTGCACGGGCGCCACAAACTGATGCCTCGCTCCGCCTACGCACGTCGCCGTCCGATGGATAACTACTAGTTTTAAGTCGGGCCTGTTCCTCTACATGGGGGGATATTCAAGAACAGCCCAACAACAGTATGGGGACGACTTTCCTAGTAGGCGCTTTGACTATTCTGGAGCATTTTCAGAGTGTCTTTGATTCTTCGTCCAAGATCCGCCTGTACAGTCGGTGCCCTGAAGAAGGAACCCTTTTCGTTGGGGAGGGGCTCCATGTTCCTTGATTGTTTCACAGCCTGCCTCAGGTTTTCCTCATGTTTTCTCGACAGGAAGTCGAAGGTCAACTTATGGAAAAGAGGGGCCTCGCTCCTTCTTTTGGGGTTCCTTAGGTCAACGCCCCGACTGTACTTCTTGGAGGCCGGCTTGGACGCCAAATTGCACCAGGCGAGCCCACTGCGCCACGTGCGCCCGGCGTGCCGCGTGCGCGCGCGGCGCGCCGGGCTCGCGACGCGCGGGGTCCGCGGCCGGCGGCGCCTAGCTGGACGGATTCGGGGGCCCAGGGCCGACCTCTGCAAGGGCGCGCGCGCGCGGCACACTTCTCACCAACAGGGGGAAGGGTAAAGTCGGCTTGTCCCTCTACAGGGGGGAGGGTCAAAAATAGTAAAAAAACAGTCTGGATACCATTTGTTTCCATTTTTTTTTTGGGGGGGGGGGGGGTATTTTTTGACCATGTTTAGTTTTTCGTCTCAAATCCCCCTGTACGGGGACAGGCACGACTTAAGGGAAGGGTGGGGGGGCTTCCGAAGCTACCCTCCCTCCCTTCCTCCTGTGGGCATTTCGGAGCTAGGGGGGCCCTGGCTGGAGGGGGGGGGGGCTTCCAAGCTCCCCCACCCCCCTTCTTTTCCGGAGCCCACTGTCAGCCCGGGCACCCCTTTCCAAAGGGGGGAGGGGGGCTGCCGAAGCTCCCCCCCCCCCTTGTTTGGATTCTGTAGCTTGGGGGTCCCTGGCTAAGGGGGGGGTGGCTTGGAAGCTCCCCCCTCCTCTTCTCGCCGGGTTCCAGGGTAAGCCCGGGCTCCCCTTTCCAAAGGGGGAGGGGCTTCCGAAGCCACCCCTTCCCTCCCATCCCCTCCTTCTGCTGGCTTTTCCAGCTTGACGGCCCTGGCCGAAGGGGGGGCTCGGAAGCTACTTTTCTTCTTTGCTTTTCGGCGCCCCGTTGGTTTTCGGCGTACTTGTGGTTTTCGGCGTTTTTTTGGCTTTCGGCGCGTCTTTGGTTCCGGCGCCCCTTTGGTTTTCGGTGCCTCTTTGGTTTTCGGCGCCGTTTTTGTTTTCGGCGCCCTTTCGGTCTTCGGGGCTTCTGCTGTTTTCGGCGCTCCTTTCGTTTTCTTGGTCCTTTTGGTTATCGGCGCCCCTCGGGGTTTTCGGCGCCCATCGTTGGTTGTCGGCGCCTCTTTGGTTTCGGCGCCCTTTTTGGTTTCGGCGCTCTTTGGGTTCGGCGCCCTTTTAGTTTTCTTCGGCGCTGCTCCGGTTCTCGGCGCTCTTCTGGTTTTCGGCGCCCCGCTGGTATTCGGAGTCTTTTTTGTTTTCGGCGCCTTTTGGTTTTCGGGCGCCCTTTTGGTCACCGGCGCTCCTTGGGTTTTGTTGGCGCCCTTTTGGTTTTCGGTGCATGGTTGGTTTTCGACACTCCTTCTGGTTTTCGGTGCCCCTTGGGTGGTCGGCGCCCCTTCTGTTTTCGGTGCCCTCTTGGTTTTCGGCGCTCCTTTGGCTTCCCGTGCCCTTTTGGTTTTTGGCGCCCTTTTTGTTACTGGCGCATCTCTTTTTTTTTTTTTTTGTTCGGCGCTTCTTTTTGCGTTTGGCGTTTTTTTGGGTTATCGTCATCATTTTGGTTTTCGGCGCCCTTCGGCTTTCGGCGCGCCTTTGGTTTTCGGCGCCCTTTCGGTTTTCGGCGCTCCTTTGGTTCTCAGCGCCCTAGTGGTTTTCGGCGCCCCTTCGGCGCTCCTTTGGTTTTCGGCGCCGTTTTGGTTTTCGGTGCCCTTTTTGTTTTCGGCGCCCTTTCGGTTTTCGGCACCGTTTTGCTTTTCGGTACTCTGTTGGTGCTTGGCGACCCTTTGGTTGTCGGCGTCCTATTGGTTCTCGGCGCTCCTTTGGGTTTTCGACTTTCTTTTCATGTTCGGCGCCCCATTGGTTTTCGGCGACCCTTTCGTGGTTTTCGACATCCTTTCCATGTTCGGCGACCCTTTGGATTTCGGCGCCCTTTTTGGTTTCGGCGCTCTTTGGTTTCGGCGCCCTTTTAGTTTTCTTCGGCGCTGCTCGGTTCTCGGCGCTCTTTTGGTTTTCGGCGCCCCGCTGGTTGTCGGAGTCTTTTTTATTTTCGGCGCCTTTGGTTTTCGGGCGTCCTTTTGGTCATCGGCGCCCCTTGGGTTGGCGCCCTTTTGGTTTTCGGCGCATGGTTGGTTTTCGGCGCTCCTTTGGTTTTCGGCGCCCCTTCTGGTTTGCGGTGCACCATCGGTTTTCAGCGTCCTTTCGGTTTTGGGCGTTGCGTCGGTTTTCGGCGCGCCTCTGGTTTTCGCACCCTTTCGGTTTTCGGTGGCCCTTCGGTTTTCGGCGCTCTGTTGTTTTTCGACACCCTTTTGGTCTTCGGACCGCCTGCCTGTGACCAGAGAGGGGAGGGGGGGGGCTTACGGCAGGGGAGGTTTATAGAGGGGGGTAGCTAAGTCCCCGCCACCCTGTGGAAACGGTGGGAGGGGGGGGGGAGCTTCCGGAGCGCGGAAGGAGGGGGGTGGGGTAGCTTCCGAGGGGCGGGAAAAGGGAGGGCGTGGGGGCGTCCGACAGCAGGGGAGGTCCAGGGGGGAGGGGGACGCTAAGCAGCTAAGCCCCCCCCCCCCCCGTCCTTTGGAAAGGGAGGGGCGTGGAGGGCAGCTTCTGGTGCGCGAAAGGAGGGGGGGGTAGCTTTCGAGGGGCAGGAGAAGAGGAGGGCGGGGCCTTCCGCAGGGGGGGTCCAGGTGGGCGGGGGGCAGACAGGGGGACCCCCCCCCCACTCTGGGAGTGCACCACGGGCGCGCTCGCTCCGACACGTATCCATGTCCTTATCCTCCCCTCCTCCTCCTCCTCCTCCTCCTCCTCCCCCTCCTCCCTCCTCCTCCCCTCCCCTCTCCCCCTCCTCCTCCTCTCTCCTCCTCCTCCTCCTCCTCCTCCTCCTCCTCCTCCTCCTCCTCTCTCCTCCTCCTCCCCTCCTCCTCCTCCTCCTCCCTCCTCCTCCTCTCCCTCCTCCTCCTCCTCCTCCTCCTCCTCCTCCTCCGCCCGCTGGGGTCCCCGGGCGTCGGTTCCCCGGGCGGCGGACATGGACACGCCCCCGCCTCGCCTGTGGGGGGCCCCGCAGAAGATTGCCAGAGCCCGCGCCGGACGTCACCTGGGACTCTGCCGCGCCTCCGCGTGACGAGGAGGAGGAGGAGGAGGAGGAGGAGAGGAGGAGGAGGAGGAGGAGGAGGAGGAGGAGGAGGAGGAGGAGGGAGGAGGAGGAGGAGGAGGGAGGAGAGGAGGGAGGAGGAGGAGGAGGAGGAGGAGGAGGAGGAGGACGAGGACGAGGAGGACGAGGACGAGGAGGAGGAGGAGGAGGAGGAGGAGGAGGAGGAGGAGGAGGAGGAGGAGGAGGAGGACGAGGCCGCCTGGGGATCTGGATGGCCCAGAGGTGCGCTCGATCTCGGCTTCGACCCCTGTGCGGCGGATTCGATTCCGGCTCAGGTCCGAAGGGCGTACCGCTACCCTTCGCCCGTTTTCCCCTTTTTCGCCCTCCTTGCAGGATCTCGTCGCCACCGTTGGATTCGCCTCGAAATTCGGGTCAGAACGCACCCCGGGAGAGGTCCTGGGAGTAGCGGTATCGGTACTTTTGATTTCCCCAGTTTGGGCTTCCGCCTCCGATCCCATCCGGTGACGCGTGGTTCCAGCTCCTCCTGGTCGGGTTTCTCGCCGATCCGAGTTCGAGCTTTCGATCCGATGCGGGGTCCTGGGGCTGCTCCAGCTCTCCCTGGCCGAAGGTGCCCCCGGCTTTTCGCTGCATTCTGGAGCCCTTGGCGCCCTCTGGGCCAAGTGAGAGGGGGGGGGTCTCTGGAGGCCGTGGGGGCCTCCCTGGAGATCTGGGCGGCACCTCGGGCCAGGGGCGCCTCCAGCAGCACCCGAGGGGTGGGCCTGCGGTGGTGCTGTGCCGATGCCCGGTGCGGAGGGTGCACGCCCGGCAGGCCGGGCCGGGCTTGGTGGCTTGCGCTCGGCGGCCCCCGGGGCGAGGACACAGCGAGCCTCAAGCCCGCCTCGGCCCGTGGCGCATCTGCCCGGCAGCGCCCTGCACGGGCGCCTGGACCGCGGCGCGCGGAGCGGCCGCGAGCCCAGGGCCTCACGCCTCGTCCCCCCCCCCGGGCCTCTCCGATTGGTGCTTTCCGCCTGCTCGTTTCCGCTCGCCGGCCTTTATATGTACACCCGGCAGGCCGGGCTGGGCTTGGTGGCTTGCGCAGCGAGCGCGCGCCTCCTCGCGGCGAGGGCCGCGCGAGCCTCAAGCCCGCCTCGGCCTGCGGCGCATCGGCCCGGCAGCGCCGCCAGCGCGCGCGCGCGACCTCGCCCTCGACGGCGGCGCGCGCGGGCGGTCGCTCTCCGCCTCCCCGTTCCGCTCTTCCGCTTTCCCTCTCACGAGGTGGCCGCTGCAGCGGAGGCCCATGCCAAGAAGCACCCCTGCTTGCCTCCAGGGTGCCCTGGGTTTTCCTAAGTTTCGATGGTTTTGCGGTGGGAAGCGTGACGTTCCCGGATCCAAAGTCGATGGACCTCCTGGGGTCTCAGGGTTGGGTTTCTTGTGGAAGGTTTCCGTTGGTCGGGCCCCTTCTGTACTCGAGATCTCGGAGGGCCACCATCATTCGGGATGGGGAGTGGGGAGCAGGAAGGGAGAGAAGGGGGAGGAGGCAGGCCAGCCACAACTGGGGGAGCTGTGGTCCTTACCCCCCTGGGGGGCCCATCTATTTCGACACCCCTCTCGAGAGATCGTCGACGCGATGGGTTCCCCCAGGGGGGTAAGGACCACAGCTCCACCAATTGTGGCTGGTCGGGGAGGAGCGGGAGGAGGAGCTAGCGGAGCAAGCGGCCAGGCGAGACGGATGCGAACGCTGCGAATCCGAACGGAATCAGACACAGGGATGCGAGCCGTTGGTCACCCTCTGGCGGGTCCAGCGTCCGCCGCGAATCGAGGTCTCACGCTTCCTCCCTCCGGGCCTCTCCGATTGATACTTTTCGCCTGTTCGTTTGCTGTCGCCGGCCTTCAGATGTACGCCTGGCAGGCCGGGCTGGGCTTGGTGGCTTGCGCTCAGCGCCTCCTAGGCTCGGGCCGGACGAAAGGTAGGGATTGGGAAAGGGAGGGATACGAAATTTGCTGCATGCAGCTGGTTTCGGCTCCACCGAGGGGCCCATTCCTCGATACATAGCCGCCTCCGGCGCCGGGAGGCGCCGGGAAAATCAGCTACGTGAGCTGATTCTCACCCCCCCCCCCCTTTGCTATCCCCCCCTTTCGCCCGACCCGATAGGCGAGGACCGAGCGAGCCTCAAGCCCGCCTCGGCCTGTGGTGCATCGGCCCGGCAGCGCCCCGCACGGGCGCCCGGACCGCGGCGCGCGGAGCGGCCGCTCTCCGCCTCACCTTCTCGCACTCCTGCTTCTCACCTCGGGCCGCCATTTTTCTTGAGGCTTCCGCGGGGGAGAACCCGCCGGCCTCGACCTGAGCACTCTGGTCGTGGCTGTGGTCGATTTGGCCGTCCTGGGGCGTCTCGTCGACCACGATCAGTGCTTGATCAGCTGGTTTCGGTCCTCCGACGAATGCTGGCACGAAGAAGACACCCCTCAGGGTGAATCCTCGATGAGGTGGTGGTCGCTCGCTGTTCCCGCATCGTCGGCGCCAGCTCTGGCGGCTGCTGGGTCCTCGGCGCCGCTGCCATCGGCTGCGCCGCGGGCAGGAGACGCTTCGGGGGCGCCAGGATCGTCCCGAGCTGCCGCCGAAAAGCTACCAGGCGAGGGGGCCACCTCGCGCTCGCGCTTGCCGTCGTCCTCGCGGGGGTGGGGCCCTCGCCGCGGCATGGGCCTGGCGCGGCTCGAAACGCTGGATTCGGCGTTGCCTGGGAGGTCTCCACGGGATCACCCCGAGCGGACCCCTGCCTGGAGCAAGCGCACGGATTGCCCGTGGCGCGCTTGACCAGGCAGGGAGGGCTGGGGCCGCCGTTTGCTACGCAGTCTCCGAGTGCCGTTCGTGGCGATCTGGGCGTCCCAAGAGAACCCTCGACCAACCGCAGCCGCTCGAACAGGTCCCTGGCCTCGAACTCTCGGAAGGCTACCATCATCAGGATATGAAACGGGGGTCCGATGTGATCATCAGGATGTGACATGAGGATCTGATCTGAGGAGGTGGAGGCGGATGAGGAGGAGGAGGAGGAGGAGGAGGAGGAGGAGGAGGAGGAGGAGGAGGAGGAGGAGGAGAAAGGAGGATCTGATCCGAGAACCCGTGGAGACCGGCCAAAGCCTGGGCACGCTGCAGCAAAGCAGCGGGAATTTATCACCGCTTTTTGGGGGGAGCCCCCTGGCCAGCCTGGCCAGCCTGGACACGACCTCCCTCCCCTGCTTCGGAGGGAGGACAGTCAGTCTTGCAATCACGAACAAGACTCTGAACGTTCGCACTTGCATGAACACCACGGTGCCTGCAACACAAGATAGCACGCAGGGCTTCCGACCGATGGCTGCTGGCACATCCCGGGCACAAGGGGTATGCGAGAGGGTCAGGGGAGCGGCGAGCGGGGCCAAGACGAGGACCGGGGCAAAAGTCCTGGCGAGCACGCCTCCGGCACCTCAAGAGCGAGCCGACGCGGCCAGGCTCGTGGCCAGCGCTCCGCAGCCTCTGCTGCCGAGCGAGGGCGGGCGGGGAGGACAAAGGGGGGGGGGTGCGGAGGCGGGCGGCCGGGCCTGTCAGCGGCCCGTCGAGGGTTCTCCCGAGCCACCTCCCCGCGGACCGCCGGCGGGCGATCCGAGGCGTGGGGGGTGGGGGTGGGGCTTGTGGAAGTTGATGCATGGAGGGGAAGCCTGCTGCCAAGTAATTTTCAGATGTCTATAACATGTCTCAAACATGTTCTTAAAACATGTAAAGACATGTTGGAAGCATTTTCAGAGCAGGTGCTACACATTTTAAGCACGTTTTTAGTTCAATGCTAGGATTGTTAGAGTGTCCATTGTCATGACGTCCACAAGGTGAGACGATCAACACGGCGAGTGAGGTCAGACTCCCGCAGAGTGGGAGAGGCCTTTCAAGCGGCCCCATCCCGCAAAAGAATCGGCACACCGATTCGGGAAGAACCCGTCCTCCTCTATGGCGAGTTGGGCCCTCTGCAAGGCCGTGGGATTGACTCTCAGTCCAGAGAACATCGACCCTGCCAGGGCCACGAGCATCGAGCGCCGACAAGAGCCGAACCCGAAAATCAAGCATCGAGCGGCTAGAAACTACCTGAGCTCGCGGCTGCCTCAGCCCCTTCACCAGGGGAAGGTCATCATACTATCATCGGATCTCATTAGCTATATTACAAACCACCATCAGAAATGCACGGAGTTGAGCCCGAGGACTAGACTTTCCAACAGTAGATAGGGTACCACACACATTAGCATCCACCTGTAGAGATAGCCCATCAGGAATGCCCAAGCTGACGATAGACCACCCGCAACGACGAAGCCTTTTGTCAGTGACAGAGCGACCACCAGAGCCATCAATGCCCCACATCCCTGCAACGGCCTTACGCTGGCCCCGTAGGTTTCCCCAGGACCACACGGGAGCCTCAGAGGGCTGGAGTTGACCGGTGGTAGCATCCAAGCTGGGGACCCCACGAGTGAAGAACATACCAGCATGATCAGTAGGAAGCGCTTCAGGAACACAGTATTCACTATGAGCAACTTGGGGGCCTTGCAAGAGAGTATTGGAGGGGAAATCCCAACACCTATAGAGCTTGGTATCGATCTCGTCACCACAACGAAAGCATTTGTTTGAAGTAAGATAGCCCATGTCCTGCAATCGGCTCTCAGGCCAGCATCCTCCAACCACGATCGTAGTCAGAAGGGCAGCTCCTTGATGATCACCCTCGTCGATCAACTTCGTATGCTTGGCCCTGAAGATCGTGAAATCAGCACCAGGTGCAAGGCCTTGGCCACACCAGTGCTGGCTAGCAGTTGACCAGACGGAGACAGAGCAGCTCGCACGCACACAAGACGTCACATGATACCTGAAATCAGTATCACTCTGAGAGAAGCTTTGCCTTCGACCATCCATTGATCAACTTGGACAGGCCGCTAGCCTAGGTCCAGCACCGTCGCATACAGTGCTGCAATTGGGCCACGCATCTGTCGCCAACAGTCTGACGAAGGAACACAACCAAGCTTATCATGCAGAGACGCCCAGACTCTCCGAACTCCTGATCGAAGACCTTCAGTCAGGGAAACCCAAATCTCAGCGATCAGGGTAAGCCTTTCAATACGTAAACGGTAATTTGTGTCGTCTTTCGTGTCATGCACAACTCTCAACACACTATTCGTACACGCTCCAGAAGACCAGAGCCCCGACCAAGAAGCAGCTGAACACTTGAATTGTTTAATCGCACCAGGAGGAAGTCCCAGAACAGCATGCCCCGAGGACCCCACAGCCCAAACACCTGGCTTATACACCCTCCAAGATGCCCCACACAACTTCGAAAGGTAAGCACGCTTACGACCACGACGACAGGCAAGATCACGACGCTTGTGAACTTTCCAGACAGCCCTTCGCTTGTGGTCCGCTGTGACTGTACCAAGATCCTTCACATTGCGTGCACAAGTAATTGAGACATCATCCCTCCTGAACTCGTCTTGAAGGAGCCTCTGCAGCTCCACCGACGAGGCGACCGCCAAAGACTTGGCACTGGCCAGGCAGCCGAGCTCAGAAATGCCCCGCTGAAACTGAGCAGCAGCCTGGGGCAAAGAGCGGCAACAAAATGCAGTAGTTCTTTGCAGATATTGGGTGATATCATCAACATGGGACCTGACAGGAACACGAACATGCGGGAGGTCTCCAGGGCCTGGCGGGTTCCTGCTGTGCGCCTTCTCCAACGCCAACGCCATCGAATGGCTCCCTGAAATCTCGAAGAGCCTCGGAGACGTGTGAGTGATGAGCCTCAAGCAGAATAAGTTCCCGGGGTAGCCGTAACTGTAAGCAAAGCGCAGAAGCTTTACCGGGGCTAACAGATCCAAAGAACTTCACAGGGGCGCGATGCAACGCACAGGATTGGAAACCACAGACAGGTGCCACGTCATGGGCCAGCTCCCGAATCGGGGCGGCCTCCAATGCGGAGGATCCCTGGACTGCCGAGTCCCCCCAAACATCCGTTTTTTATTTTTTGTTTTTTGTTTTTTGTTTTTTTCTTATTCCGGTCGTCGATGTCAAGGCCTCAGGCCGTGCAGCAGATCCGACAAATGCTGGGACATTTAGCAGTTGCACGTTCGTCACACATCGACCTTGGGAGCGTGGCCATGAGGCAAGCGTAGCATTGAGGAGGGAAGCCAGCGTCTCCTCAACCCGGCTCAGAATGCCAGTGACAACCTCCAGTGCGTCCACCGGTGCAGAGGGCAAGGCTCGCGGCGACCACATATCAATACCGACTGCAGTGGTAGCCTTGAAACAGGTGCAAGCGCGAGAGACTTCATGGATCTCGAGGGGATCAGTGTCCTCTAGGGTGACCATGGTCTGAGAGCACAACTCGCCGAGGCCAGCATTGAGACAAGCCGACTGCTGAGGGGACGGGATTCACCAAGATTGCCAGCTCTCTTCACGGAACCTCATCATGTTCTTGGGGCTTCCATTTTGGCCTGCGTGCTACAGGCGCGCCTGCCTCCCTAGCAGGGACGCCAGGCCTCCTGGCGATGGCGGAGCTCGTTCGTTCGATCGTTCGTTCATATTCTTGGGGGTGTTGAAGATCCCAACAGGGGACTCGAAATATTCAACCCACACTTTCTCCTCCGCCTCAAGATGATGATGAACAGGACCAGCACCACGAGGAAGAGAGTCCTGCAACCGTGTACGCATGATTTTCCTAGCCCTGGCATGAACTTGAGTCCAAGCTCTGGCGCACACTTCGCCAGCAGCATCCACATGATTCGGAAGAGTACCAGCATTACTTGGGGATTTATCGAGCATCTTGTTCCAACTTTCAACATTCTCATGACCCTCAAGAGGCTCGATGTGGGAGAAAGCGTCGGAGGGCAAGTCCGACAAGACAGTGCGGTGCTGCCTAGCAGCATCAGAAACTGGTGCTTTAATTATGAGCAAGCTTCCACAACTCCTAGAGACTGCTGGAAACAAGAGACCAGTAGGACAAGTCTGAGTTCCGAAAACTCTGCGCCTGCACACTGCGAGTCATCAGAACCAGTCCTTGCGCTTCAGAATGCTACTTCTACTAAATTAGCGATCAAAAATCAGAGACGACTGTACAAGGACGACGCAGGGAACGCAATTCCATGGCACGAGACCAAGTAAGATATTACATCCCAAGATCACGAGACATCCATTCAGTGGTGTTGTCATTCATGGCCTGATAGAGGTCTCCAGGCATCACAACAGGTGCCTCGAGGAACTGGGGAGAGGCAGCAGCCATGTAGGTAAGCCAATGGGTAACAGGACCATGTGCCTCAGGGACCTCCGGGGGTCTAACACGCTGACAAACGGGCTCCACCACGTCCTCGAGATCCAAGACAACATCCAAGCACGCGGTGGGTCTTGAACGGGACAGGAGGTCGGCAGACACTCGCAGGTAAGGATAGAGCAAATGCGAGCACACAACATCATCAATCATGCTCTCACCGGTCGAGCAATTGACAGCAGCACTACTTGGTGTGAGGGTTCGAGCAGATAAGAGCTCAATGGATATCCGTGTCCTCCAGGAAAACACCTGACATGTTGACATCATCCATCAGAAGCCATGAAATCCACAGCCCACGGGCAAATTCAGCCCTTCCACGAAGCTGAGACGAGTTTTCCACAGAAACTCCTACAGACGGGCTGAGGAAGATCACACCACACCTACCGCCACGGTACAAGATTTCAATATCACTTCCAGGAAGAACCAACAATCTCCTGCCCCGACCTAAATTATCGAAAGCACAAACGTGGTTGGACAGCTACTGCAACGCTGCCAGGAGTGCCTCCACGAGGTGGGGCCAATGCATCCGCGAAGTAGGGCCACCACTTCATATGCCGACAGGTCTTCTTAGTCTGGAGCACACCAGGCCTTGCAAGATTATGCTCTGCTATGAAAATGCCATCAACCTCGGAAACCTCGGCAGCAAAGAAATCCCTAGCAAGATTATACCATAAAAGTACGTGCTGGACAGCCACAAGGGGCAGAAGAGGAGGTACGCTAAAGCTACTGCCGCGAGCCGTCAGAAGCGCCAGCAGCTCCAGCAGCACCTCCTGGTAATGCACCTCCGTTGGGACCGAACTGCTCCATCTGCTTAGCCGTGGCAGAGCAGAAGACGCAGTACATGTCGCAGGTGCCGTTCTCAGAAACGCGAGCATGTTTGACCGTCTTCGCCACCAGCCTCTTCTGGAGCAAATCGGTGTTCTCTTTTGCAGCTGCGGCATCCAGCCCAGCTCCTCCTGCACTCTTCTTAAGCTCCCGAAGCTGGTCACGCTCCTGAGGCTCCAAATCGTTCTCGCCAATCTCGCTGCCGAGGTCGGAGATCTCGTCTGGGACGCCATCGCCTCGCATTCGCTGCAGATGGAGGCGATGCTGCTGCCACTGAGGAAGGGGAGTGCCCGAGCAGACGACGAGTTGGTCCAAAGCGGCGTCATTGAACTCGTGCGAGTGAGATTCAACATGCACGAGATCAGCCAGGCGACCACGGAGCCAAGGCATAGCTCGGGGGGCCGCCTCCGCCGCGCCCGCAGGCTCCATTGGCACGTCGGCAGCACCACCTGCCGCCGCGGCGTGAGCGCCACCGGTGACGTCAGCAGCGGGCGGGGGAGCACGAGGCTCGCCTGCTGCGGCGCTGGCGGCACCCGCAGCAGCAGCTGCTTGGTCGCGCTGCCGCTGCACTTCGTTCGGCTTCGCCTATTTGAACTCGGTGGCGCTGAATGCGGACTTCTTGGCGTCCGCGTCCCTCGTCACCTCGCGTGCCACCTCGAGGTTTTTCTCGGCCTCGATGTGGTTCTTCTGCAGATCCTCCATAGTATTCTTCGCCTAGTTGTAGCGATCGAGCCGCCACTGCACCTCCTGGTAGGCGAGGCGCTCTTGGTGGCGTTCTCGATTTGCTTGGCCAGCTCCGTCTGTTCCAGAACAGCAAGTCTAGTCGATCCAGTTCCGCTTCTGTGTAGTCACGAACTTCACCAGTGGGCGCAGCAGCATCACGTGCAACGCCCGCAAGCGCAGGATAGTGAACTGAACAACGTTCAAGCTCCTACAGTAGATGAGATGGCATCGGTACCGCAGCATCGCCAGGAGCACCTTTACGTGGATGGGCCCAGTGATCATCACCAGGACCACCAGCAGCATCACCAGGAAGGTACGCCCCACCGCAAATGCTGCAGGCGCGGTGTCATGGTGTGTGTACTCCCAGTGCTTGCAGAAGTCTGCAGAAAGCGTAGCAGTAGTCCTTCTTTTTCTTCTTCCTTTTGTCCTTCTTCTTCGAGCCAGCACCTGGTTGCCATACCCAGGGTTCAGAGTTCTTGCCGCCGCCTCCACCTCGCCCAGGCGCGTGGGCGCGCCAAGCCATGGCACTAGCAGCGCAGGGATGTACAGTGAGAAACGGGGGAAAGAAAAGCCAAACCTCGAGAGACCTTGCCTGCCGCGGACTAGCGGTATCCACTTTGCTCCCAGAGGAACTTGGCATCTTGAGCCGATTTGGCTACGGGGACATGGGATGGAGAGCAGGAGGGGCGCGAGAGGGAGGAGTAGGAGGAGAGAGATGAGGAGTTAGCGGAGCTAGCAGCCTGACGAAAGGGGTGCGAACGCCGCGAATCCGTGCGGGATCAGCAGGAAGCGAGCCGCAGGTCACCGCCTTCCTTGCAACTCCACGCGCGACACTATGCCTGCTTCTCTCGAACCTTCTCGCGGGTGAAGCGTTCGTCGGGAGTTGGGATCTCACGCCTCGTCCCCCCACTCCTCGATTGATGCTTTTTCGCCTGTTGGTTTGCTCTCGCCGGCCGTTATATGCACACCTGGCAGGCCGGGCCAGGCTTGGTGGCTTGCGCTCAGCGCCTCCTAGGCGAGGACCGAGCGAGCCTCAAGCCCGCCTCGGCCTGCGGCGCATCGGCCCGGCAGCGCCGCCCACGCACGCCCGAGCTTCTCGAGGTCGGCGCGTGCGCGGCGGCCGCTCTCCGCCGCCCTGTCCCGCCTGCCGCTTCCCTGCACCTCCCCCCACCTCCTTCTCCCTCCTCCTTCCTCCTTCCCCCTGGCTGCACCTCCCGCCAGCTCCAGTTCTCCGCCCCTCTTCGTCATCGAAGGCGCCTGCGGCGAATCACCGCCGCCCCCTGCCTTTTTGGAAGCGCCTGCGTGGCCGACAGTCGGGTTTGAGCTTGGCCAAGCTATCGGGCCACGCGTTCCCCGAGTGGGTTTTCGAAAGTTTTCAGGGAAAACGGAGTCGGGCGAGCTATCGGGCCAGGTGGTTTCCGAGCTTTCGGGTTTCCTGGAGGACGTCTTGGCGGGCTCTTGGGCCGTCTCGGGGGCCTCTGGCGGGCCTTTTGGGCAGTCTAAGGCCATCTTTAGGCCATTTGGGGCCGTCTTGGGTGTATCTTGGGGCCATCTTCGCCGTCTTGGAGGCCTTCTTGGCCGTCTTGGAGGCATCTTGGAGGCCATCTTAGCCGTCTTGGAGGCCATCTTGGGCGTCTTGGGGGCGTCTTGGGCTGTTTTGGGGGCCTCTTGGAGTCGTCTTAGAGGCCTCTTGGGCCGTCATGGGGCCATCTTGGAGGCCTTTTGGGCGATCTTGGGGCGATCTTGGGGACCTCGTGGGCCGTCTTGGGCTGTCGGAAGGCCGAAAAGAAGCAAATGCCAAAATCCTTCAAACAACTTAGGACAACCAATGATTTTGGCCTCTGCGGGCCCTCGTGGAGGACCTCTTGGAGGCCTCTTGGGCCATCTTGGAGGCATCTTGGACCTCTTGGACCGTCTTGGAAGCCATCTTGGAACATCTTAGGCGGACTTGGAAGCCATCTTGGGCCATCCTTCCCGTCTTGGAGGCATCTTGGAGTCCAATTGGGGCCATCTTGGGCATGAAAGGCATTGACATGTGCAGTTTGGGGTCTCTTCGGGTTGCCAGCGGGACGGGCCGAAGCCTCAGCGAGTTTTCTTAAAGAACCAAAGCCGTCTAAGATCTGACACGCCAGGCACCCCTGTGATAAATCAACACGGGGCGGCGGACCTGGTGGCCCTCGGCCCATCCCGCCACCGAACCTGGATCGTGAACGAGAGGCCTCTTAGAAGTCTCTTGGGGTCTCTCGGGAGGCCTCTTGAAGGCCTCCGTGGTGCCTCTTGGGGGCCTCCTGCAGGTATCGGAGGGGCCTACTTGCGATCTTTGAAGCCATCCAGGGGTCGAAGGCTCCAAAGTTTGAGTTCCCCTTTGGACCTCTCTCTTGGGGCTGTCTTGGACGCCTCTTGGGCTCCTCTTCTTTGGGGGGGGGGCCATCTTGGGGCGATCGTGGAGGCCTGCTGGGCTACCCTGCCGCTCAGCGGCTGCCGTTGCTTCCCTGGGGACCAGGCCATGTTTCCAGGAGGAGGAGGAGGAGGAGGAGGAGGAGGAGGAGGAGGAGGAGGAGGAGGAGGAGGAGGAGGAGGAGGAGGAGGAGGGTTTCCACTGGGACCCCTCTCCCTCCCGTCGACCGCCAACCCCTGAGATCCGGCGTCGCGAAACACTGCAACATCGCGAAGCATCATGATCGGGGCCCTCGGCCAAGCTTGTATGCTGCATTTTTCCGTGAGCGCACTCGAGGCGGCTCGAGCTGTGAAGGTCCTGTGGCGCGAGCTGAGGCGAGATCGCCCAGCGTGAGCTTGCAGCGGCAAAACCTTCAGGACCCCACCTGGCCCCTTCCCACCTCGGGGACGCCAAGCAGGACTCAGGAGGGAAAGAAACACACAGACACAATTAGTCGTCGACCATCAGGAAAATACGGGAACTGGGGGGAAGACAAAAACCAAGAAATATGGGGAATCTTTTTATTTGTGTGTGTTTATTTGTGTGTTCTGGGGCCCCTTTACAAGCAGGACACCTGCGCCGATCCTGGCCGTGTCGATCCTGAGCCGCCCAGGATGGCGGCGAGGACGGGTGCGCGCTCTCTTCTCGCGGGGCCTGCGATCGTCCTGGGCCCACGAGAATTGGCCTGGCCAGCACGGGCATAGAAGCGGAGCAGGTGCATACAGTGGAGACCCACGCCAAGAGACACCCTGCTTGCCTCCGGGGAGCCCTGGGTTTCTTGGGTTTCGATGGTTTCGCGATGGAGAGTGTGACGTCCCCACACCAAAAATCAGTGGGCGTCCTGGAGTCTCAGGGTTGGGTTTCTTGTGGAAGCTTTCTTGTGGACTGGCCTCCACTGTAGTTGGCGTCCTCCTACCTCCCGGCCTCCCCCCCCGTTGCTTCGTTCCTTCCCGTCCCTTTAGGCCTGCTCCCATCCCCTGTCCCCGTCCGCACCCCTCTCTCTCCAGTCTCCCTGTGTGTGTGTGTGTCTCTCTCTCTCTCTCTTCCCCGCCCCGTCCACCCCCTCACCTTTCCATATATGTTTAGTCTTTTATTATATTATCATCATTGTTTCTTCAATTGTTTGGTTTCTCTCTCGCTCTCTCTCTCACTCTCTCTTTCCCCTCTCCCATCCCCCCCCCCGCTCGGCCTGTCCCGCTCTCCCCCTCGACCTTTCAATTTAACACTCCCCTCCCCCCCCCTCGTGCTTGGCGTCCTCTCCCCCTCCTCTTCCGCCGCTTCCCCCCTCCCGATCTAGCTACGCTGGCCGACGAGCCGGCACTTTTTGCCAGCCTGTCGCAGTCCCAGACCGGCACGGTCTCGCCTCTTGCGCTCGGGCTGGCCATCCACCCGCGGAAAAGCCTCGGCTGGCTCAACCTCCTTGCTCGAAGGGCGCCAATTCGATTCTGAGCCGATCCTCGTGGGCGGCATCGGGGTAACTGAAGCGGACACCTGGCCTCCTCCTCCTCCTCCTCCTCCTCCTCTTCCTCGCCTCCTGGCCTCTTCCTTTGGCCCCACTCCCCCCTGTTCTCTCCCCGCCCCTGCCCCTGTCCCCCCGATTCCCCCCCCTGGCGCCACGATTCCTGGCCGCCTCCTTCGGCTCACGCGCGGCTTGCACGGGTGCGCAGCCCTGGCGCCCTCCGTCCTGTGGGTCGTCTGGCTCCCTCTTGGAGGCCCTCCTCCTCCCGCCCTTTCTCTCCCCCCCGCGCCCACGGGCGGAACCGAAGCGCAGCGGCCCTCCGCCGCAGCGCGCTCTGACCCGGCTTTTCGGGGCGGACCGGGCCGCGGCCACGAGCCCCCGCCCCGCGAGGCCGTGGAGGAGGCGGAGGAGGAGTCGGAAGGGGATGGGGGAGTGGAAGGTCGTGGGTCGTGGTGGTGGTCACTGCGACAGGGCAGCCGGCACCGAGCAGGGCCACGCGCACCGCGAGCACGACGCCGAGGTCGACGACGAGGGAGACGAGGCGCGCCAACGATCACCCTGCGAGGCTTGGAACACAGCACGTTGTCGAGCGGTGCCAGGCATCTCGGGTTTTGCTGAGGCCCGTGGCGCGCTTCGGCACCCTCCCCCCCCCAAACCTCGTCAGGGGCAGTGGCAAGGGCGAGGGCGGCCGTGGCCGGTGCGCCCCAGAGCTAAGTGAGAAAGCTCCGAGTGCCGCGGCTGAGAGGGCCTGGAAAATGTACAGACGGAGGACGGACGGGCAGCCAGGCGGGGTCAGGGACGGACGGACGGAGGTTCTGCTGGGCGAGCGCCGTACGCAATGGGCGAGACAGTCGGGATGAGGAGGAGCAGAAGCAGAAGCAGCAGCAGCAGCAGCAGCAGCAGCAGCAGCAGCAGCAGCAGCAGCGGCGAGGAGGAGGAGGAGGAGGAGGAGGAGGAGGAGGAGGAGGAGGAGGAGGAGGAGAGGAGGAGGAGGAGGAGGACGAGGAGGAGGAGGAGGGAGGAGGAGGAGGAGGAGGAGGAGGAGGAGGAGGACGAGGAGGAGGAGGAGGAGGAGGAGGAGGAGGAGGAGGAGGAGGAGGAGGAGGAGGAGGAGGAGGAGGAGGAGAGAGGAGGGAGGAGGAGGAAGAGGAGGAGGGGGAGGAGGGGGGGAGGGGGGGGAGGAGGAGGAGGAGGAGGAGGAGGAGGAACTTTCTTTGTCCACTGGCCTACCTTTCACTTCCGCCCCGCCCCGCCCGCGTCCGCAGGACGCCTCGTCGGGCTCGCAGTTCGGGGCTTCCCAGCTGCTCGGGTCTTCTTCCACCGCGGAGGACGCTTGCGCTGGTGATCCAAACCCCGCCGCGCCGAAGCGCGTGGCCCCGGCGCGCGGAAGGCGTGATGTCCACCGCCAGAGTATCGGGGCGACGGGGCTTTTGTGGTTTAACATTGCCCCTGCGCGCGCGTGGCTGGAGGGGAGCGCGGCGCGCGCGGAGGGCGCGCGTGGGGGATCGGCTGGTTTCGCCGACGGCTGGTTTCGCCGACCCGCCCGGTGGTTTCGGCCGGCTGGTTTCGCCGACCCGCCTGTTAGATTCCAGCCCGCCCACCCGCCCGTTGGGGTCCCGCCCGTTCGCGTGCTGGCAAGCCCGCCCGCTTTTATGTCCCGCCCGACCCGCCCGTTGGAGTCCCGCCCGCCCGGGCTGCCCGTCAGGGTTCTGGCCGCCCGACCCGCGAGCTCCGGCGAGACCCGCCCGACGAAACCCGCCGCCGGCGAGACACACCCCGGCGAAACCAGCCGCCGGCAAGTAACCAGCCCCAGCCCTGAGCCAGCGCCGGCGAGACCAGCCCCGGCTGTAAACCGGCCGTCGGTGAAACCAGCCGCCGGCAAAACCGACCGCGTGCGAAGTCAGACGGGCGAGCCCGGCGCCAGCGGAGCCAGGGGCCCGCGAGGCCAGCGCCGGCGAAGCCCGCTTGATGCCGCGGGGGGCGTTGCTGCGCGGGGAGGGCGTGCGGGCGCGCGGGGGCGCGCGAATCCCTTCGTTACCCTTCCTGGGACTTCAACACTGCGAATCCACGTGGCTGTTGCGTCCTGACAATCCCAACTCATCCCAGAACAGCATTCGTCCGGCGTCACCCCAGCATACTTAAACTATATGTGCGTCGCCCCCCAGGGGCGACGCGCGCACCGAGAAACCTTATAGTATAGGCGTCGTGGCGGTCGCTTTCTGACCACGCCGCTCGGGAAACGAAATACTACAAGATGGGTATACTATATGTTCGGGTCGGACGCGCGCCTCCAAGGAGGACACATAGTATTAGCTTGTCTCTGTGCATCCCACTCGTGGGACTTCAACACCGCGAATCAACGAGACTGGTGCGTCCTGGCAATCGTAAGTCGTGCCTGAACACCGTTCCTGGGACTTGAACCATACGGATTCTTGAAACTCTCGCACACATCCAACACGCATGTGTGCGGCGCCGAGGCGAGAGCCACGTCTGAGACGAAACCGCTCTACATCCTTGAAACTGACGCAAACCTTCAGGACGAATGTGCGCGGCGCCAAGACCAGGAGGACATTTTGAAAACGACCCGCCTTCCCGCCTTGAAATAGCTGCAAACTTTTGAGACGAATGTGCGCGGCGCTCAGGCGAGAGCACATTTTGAAAACGGCCCGCCTTCCATGCTCCAAGCTGCTGCGGACTTTTCGGACGAATGCTCGCGGCGTTCAGACGAGAGCCACATTTTCAAAACGGCCTGCCTTTCATTTGCGAATCTGTCGCAAACTTTTAGACGACTGTACGCGAGAGCTCTATGGCGATGGTCACGTTTTGAAACCCATCGCCTTCCATCCGTGAAGCTTCTGTTGCAAATTTCGAGCTAGGACCATACAGTGTGAGGAAATCTCAGGCGGAACGCCTGGCCCGCCCTACCGACGCGTCTGGAGTCGCGACAGGAAGGAGCTATTTTAGGGAAAGGAGGAGGAGGAGGAGGAGGAGGAGGAGGAGGAGGAGGAGGAGGAGGAGGAGGAGGAGGAGGAGGAGGAGGACTCTCGCGCGCACCTCCCCCCCCAATGCCCCGGGGTGGGAGCGTGAAGGCAGTCTGCGCCGCGGGACCTGCACGGTCCGCGCGTGGCGCGTAGGCGAGGGTGACCTGGGGCTGCCGCCCCAGGAGCTGTCCGAGCCCGCCCCCCACAGGGCCCGCCCCCGACCCGACATCCGTCGTGGCCGGCCCGATCTGATCTCTTGGTCCGGTCCGCACTAGCCAGTCGGGGCGCTGAAGAAGGAATCCTCATCGTTGGGGAGGGGCTGCGTGTGCCTCGATTGTTTCGCAGCTTGCATCTGGTTTTCCCCAGTTCTTCGATGGGAGATATAAGTTAAACTTATGGAGGGGAGGGGCCTCGTTCCTTATTCAGGGTTCCTCAGGTCGACGCCCCGACTGTATGGCCCCAAAGCGTCAATGTCCTGAGCTTTTCCCAGCCTCCCGCCCCGCGGAGCGGAGCGACACGCTGTCCGTCGCCCTCGCGCAGAGGGGGGTAGGGGAAGGGGGAAGGCTTCTTCGAAGCACCCCTGCTTCTCAGAAGGCCCGGGCCTTGTCTAAAGATGTAAGGCCGGCGCCTTCTAAGAAGCGGCCTCCTTGTGCGCGCCCCTACCCCTTTGTGCGCGCCGCCAAGTCCGCTCGCAGGGTATATCACCACCCACCAAACCACCCCAACCCAACCCGAAGGCCTCAATCTCAATTTGCCGTCCCTTTCCAGTGGGGGGGGCGTCGAGGAGCGTTGAAAAAAAAACAGGTGTAACCCCTTACCCCCCCCCCATCCCGAAATTCGGGCCGAATTCGGGTCTTCGGGTTGGGTTGGGGTGGTCAGTATAGCGTGTCGCCGGTGCCGCCCCCGCGGCACGCGAAGCAGAGGCTGCCGACTGTAAACCTCGGGAGGTCCGCGCGGACTTCGTGGATCGGCGCCCGCGCTCCCCCCCCCCTGGCGGGCGACGTCCCCGTGCGGCGCCTGCTGCGCGTCCTGGCGCGGCTGGGTGCGAGATCTGGCCCCCGGCTCCCCAAGATCAGACGCTGCCAGGCACCTGCAGCACCGCGAAGAGGCATCGCCGGAGGCCTTGGCCACGACTTCTCTGTCGAGCCGGCTCGATCTTTGTGGGCTCGCCGGCCCGCACCGGGCGTAGAGAGCACAATTGGGCGAGCGCGCCCGCTGCGAAAGAGTTTTACATCGGTTGGATCTCATGCCCCGTTTCTGGGCAGACATCGGCGGCGAGCGAGGGAGGGAAGTGAGAAGGGGCGGGCCTTCTCAGAAGGCTCGGAAGTCCCTTGGCCTTCTGAGAAGTGTCCAAAGCCTTCCCAGAAGACACCGAGCTGAAAACTTCTCAGAAGGCGCGAGGGCTTCTGAGAAGGCCTTCTCCTTCTCACTTTTTTTGCGCTCGCCGCCAAGGATAGTTGCGCACGCAGTTTAACACAGGCGAGAGAGACGGGCTTGCAGCCACGCTTCCCCCCGCCTCCGCAGCCATGTGCCTCAGTGGCCCCACAGAGGGCCGTGCCAGCAGTATACTGCGCACTGTACTCGGGGGTAGACAGACCTCCTACCCTGACACGTCGATTAGTGAATTGGCCGTTTTCGGTTCGCGAGAGGGCGTCGCGGCCGTCATTTTTGCGAGTCCAGGTCCATCGGTTTCGGTCCCAGGCCGTTTTAACTGCGGGGAGGTTTACTAAAGGGAGGTTTGTCCACCGCCGATGTGCACCAGCGCAGAATCGAGGAAAAAGTCACTGTCCCCAGACCCCCGACGTCGTGATTTTTGCGCAGCGTCGACCCCCAGAGAGGTCTGGACCTCTTCCCCGGGACCAGTTTTTCGCCCCGCGTCGTTTTTTTAGACGGCCCCGAGGCCCGGGGAGCGCCCCCGGAGGCCGAACACAGCAACACGCCTCCCGTCGTGTGCTTTTCTCGCACAGCGCGAGGGGGTCTGGGTCTGGATCTCAGAGCCCAGGGCTCTGCGCTGGTGCGGGGTGCGAGCTGTCTTGTGCCCGCGCTCGCTTCGGTCCGGCCCAGAGTCCCGCCGCAGTGCCGGCGAGGGGCCTCCTGCCCCGCGGGAGGCCCCCGATGCGCCCCCGCCCCCTCCCCGCAGGAGCGCGCCCGCCTGCTGCGGCGGGTGGAGATGTGCGCCAAGGCCGGGCGGCCAGGGAGAGATGCCGCCCCTCGGGGGGCGTCCGCTTGGACTGGGCGCCGGAGTGCCCTCCCGCCGGAGTGGCCTCTGCTGCGGGCACGGAGGGGCCCCCAGATGGCTGAAAGCGAAGCGGTAGCAGCAGCAGCGGCTTGTGAGCTTGTGTTTGGCCCCCCCCCCCCCGCGGCCCCCCAAGTGCCGCGCACCAAAGGTCACTCTTGCCCGGTGTCACTCTTGCATGTAGCCGACCGCTCTCCGCCGCACCGGTCCTGGCCGGGCCCATACTCAGGGGCAACGTAAGGGGATGGGCTCATGGGGGGTCTTCGGAGGTGTTATGTTTTTTTTCTCCCCAGGCCGTGCTTGCAATCAGGGGTTCCCACTGTTCTGAGGAGCTGGGCACGGCTGACGGTCCGGCCGGCTTGTCGCCGCCTGTCGCCGCCCGTCGCCGCCCGTCGCCGCCGCCCGCTTGCATTGCCCTACATTGCCTTGCATTGCTTTGCATGGCTGTTGCATTGCTATTGCACTGCTAGTGCATTGCTGTTGCATTGCTGTTGCGTTGCTATTACAGTGCTTCGCAATGCTATTGCTTTGCATTGCTTTGTATTGCTTTGCATCGCTTTGCATCTCAATTCATCGCATTGTATTGCTTTGCATTGCTTTGCATTGTTTTGTATTGCTTTACATGGCTGTTTCTCGCATTGTATTGCTGAGCATTGCATTGCATTGCTTTGAGTTGCTTTGAGTTGATTTGCATTGATTTGCATTGCTTTGCACTGCTATTGCGTTGCCATTGCTTTGCTAGTGCTATTGCTTTGCTACTGCTTTGCAATTACTTTATGTTGTGTTGCGTTGCATTGCTTTGCATTGCTTTTCACCGCATTGCATCGCTTTGCATTGCTTTGCATTGCTGTGCGACGCACGGATTTCATCTCATGGATTGCACCACATTGATTTCACCATCTAGATTGCTCCGTATAGATTACAAGAATTCACTGTTAAGGGTCTACGCTGGCCAACGTTCGAATGTTTCCGAAGCCTGGGGTGGTTTCTATCAGCTGTGTCTCGTCGAGGGCGTTTTCCGAGTGTGTCGGAATCGTTCCGAACGGCCGCCAGATGCCCGAGTTATGGACCAACAGCCAGGGAGCGGAACGTCGGGGGCAACGTGGGGGGTTGCTGGGCTCAGGGGTGCACGCATCGCCCCCCCCCCCCCCCATCGCCCATTCCTCGCCGATAGGGGCCTGGCAGCCCACCTCGCCCAGGAACGTGCGGATTCGCCATCGGCGGCCTATCGCCGATCTATCGGCGATGTGACCACATCCGCCGACCCCTTTGACTTCGGTTCGTTCCCCATTCCCTCGGGGGCCCGTGGACCGGTTTTCAGCGCCGGGAAGGCTGAAGAGGCGGAACTTTTAACAGCAGGAAGCTATTAAGACCTTCCTTTTTCTGGTGAGACGACAACGCATCCAGTACCCAGAGGTGTTATCCTGGCACCCTGAGGAGGTGGAGGAGGATGAGGATGAGGATGAGGATGAGGATGAGGATGAGGATGAGGATGAGGATGAGGATGAGGATGATGATGATGAGGAGGAGGAGGAGGAGGAGGAGGAGGAGGAGAGGAGGAGGAGGAGGAGGAGGAGGAGACAGGGAGGAGGGAGGAGGGAGGAGGAGGAGGGAGGAGGAGGGAGGAGGCAGAGGAGGAGGAGGAGGAGGAGGAGGAGGAGGAGGAGGAGGAGGCGGAGGAGGAGGAGACGGCGGCGGCGGCGGCGATCCTCAAGAGTCCGAAGCGGTCCGAACTGGGGAGGGCGGAGGCAAGTACCCCCCTTCATATCGGCTGCTCGGCACCTCTCGCACGAGGGGCACCAGCGGCAGCCCCGTGCACGCACGGGGGTAGCCAGTGCACAGCCCGTGCCGACGTTAGGGGGCCACATGCGAACCCTGCCCCTACCCCCCACGATTTTTGAGGGGGGCAGGGTTAGGGTTCGCATGTGGCCCCCTAGACGTGGCTCCACCCTCCTCGAGGGTGGCGAGACCAAAACGCTACCTGACACTAAAGCACATCGGCTCCATCGAGCAGTACCGAAAACCAGCGCCGCGGCACAGCCGCGACGGGCCAGCCCAAAGGCAAGCCGACCTTCGACACACGCCAGAGGAAGCCAAGGCGCACACGGGAGGTGGCGACATCGGCCTCAGCGAAAACAGACAGCGACGGGCGGGAATTTATACATGACCACCGCCTGGAGGATTAATTTCGGGGATCTCGGCAGGCTGTGGATGTGGACATATTCGGACCCCCGGGGGCCAACATGTATCCATATCCACTGCCCGCTGGGGCACTAGGACGTCGGTTCCCAGGCGGTGAATATGGATAAATCTCCGCTTCGCACTTTCGGTCCCCCGAGCATCGCTCGTTGATGGGCCCGCCTCCAGCGGTCGCAGCCCCAGGTCGGCATCTCCCAGCATATTCACACCATGGGCGCGTCGGCTCCGCAAGAGGCGACGTGCGCGCTCAGACGAAGCATTACCGTATTACGCTCGGCGGGGCGGGCGTGTTGCCGTGGCCATGCCGTCTGGGCAGCGGCATGCTGCAGGGCGTTTGCTGCATCTCCTTCGGTGCGGACTCGCGTGTCCCACAGAAACAAATGGCACGGTGTCTGTTCTACTACTGTGAAGGCCTGACGGCTGGTGCCGCCGACCCTGGAAGACATCGACGACGACAAGGAGGGGGAGGAGGAGGAGAAGGAGGAGGAGGACGAGGAGGAGGACGAGGAGGAGGAGGAGGCGGAGATAAGGAGGAGGAGGAGGAGGAGGAGGAATTCTGACGTGTGCACCCCACTGAAACACGCAGTGCGGGCACGTCCTCCCGCGACCCCCCCGCCAGGCCCGAGAGGAGTCCACCAAGATCATGAGCCAGCGCTTCGCCCAACGCGACGCCGTCAAGATGGAGACCAGGCGCCGCGCCGGCTCCCTCCCTCGCAGACCTGGAGGTTGACACCATCACCGATGTCTTAACGGGCGAAGAACGGTATAGAATAAACTTTTTCGCTGTCGGGGGCGCCTGTCCCAGGGCGGCTGGAAAGTTTATACCCTTACGGTGGCACCGTAGGGGCATAAACTTTCCAGCCGGATTATACCCTTACGGTGGCACCGTACGGGCGAAGAACGGTATAAACTCGGGGGCGCCTGTCCCTGGGCGGCTGGAAAGTTTATACCCTTACGGTGGCACCGTAGGGGTATAAACTTTCCAGCCGCCCAGGGATAGGCGCCCCCGACAGCGAAAAAGTTTATTTTATACCGTTCTTCGCTCGCTGAATGTCGGCGGTGGGCTTCCACCGAGGGAAGCAGATCCCGACCTCGGCGATGGTGGTCATGTCCTGGCTTCCAGGGGGGCCGACATGTTACCGCCAACGCCGAAATATGGGATCCTCTTCCCCCTGTGGAGGCGACCCCCCCTGGTGGTGTTGGTGCCCATCTCCAGGCCTCCTACTCCAAATCCCTTATTAATCGTCCCCCAGGTCCGACTTTTTAAGGCGCCTTTTTTTTGTAACTGGGGGGGTCCGGTTTATAGGGCATTTTCTCTGGATTTTGGCTCAGGCGGTCCAGTCTATTCACGCGCCCCTTCTGAGGGGGGGCCCGCAATGTTAGGCCGCATTTGGAGGGGAGGGCCGGTTTTTTAGGGGGGGCTCGATCAATAAGGGATTTGGAGCACTCCCCTCGCTCTCGGCCCCCGGCGGCCTCCCGCCCTCCTCTCCGCTCCCTGCGCCCCGCCGTTCCCCCTCGGCCTCCCGTCACCCGCTTGCCCTCTCCCGCCCTGCTCCGCGCTCCCTGCTCCCTGCTCCCCCTCCTCGCCCTCCCCCCTTCGCCGCACCCTCGTCGACTCTTCCTCCCCCTCCCTCCCCTCGGTCCACTGTTCTCTCTCCCGTCTGCAACTACTCTCCCTCCCTCCCGACCTCCCCTCCTCCTCCTCGGTCTTCTTCCTCCCCCTCCCTCCTCCTCCTCCTGCTGCTGCTCCTCCTGCTCCTCCTTCTCCTGCTCCTCCTTCTCCTGCTCCTCCTGCTCCTCCTCGTCCTCCTCCTCCTGATCCCCCTCCTCCTCCTACTCCCTCCTCCTGTTCCTCCTCCTCCTACTCCTCCTTGTCCTCCTCCTCCTCTTCCTCCTGCTCCTCCTCCTCCTCCTCCTCCTGTTCCTCCTCCTCCTCCCTCCACGCCCTCTTCTGGAGGCCGCGCGAGGAGCGCAAGGAGGCAGAAGGAGGAGGAGGAGGAGGAGGAGGAGGAGGAGGAGGAGATGAGGAGGCGGAGGAGGAGGAGGAGGTGGAGGAGGAGAAGGGTGAGGATGAGCATGCTGCTGCTGATTTTAATGCTGATGATGATTCTTATGATGATAATGATGAGGAGGATGAGGAACAGGTTTCGGAAGCTGAGGATGCGGAGGAGGGGCAGGAAAGGACGATGATGATGAGTATGCTGCTGCTGATGATGATGATGACGACGCTGATGATGATTCTTATGACGATGCGCATGCTGATGCTGCTGCTGACGATTATGTTGTTGATGTTGTTGTTGATGACGATGGTGAAGGTGATGATGACGATGATGCTGCTGATGATGCTGATGATGAGGGTGATGGTGATGGTGATGATGATGATGATGATGATGCTGATGATGATGATGATGATGATGATGATGATGATGATGCTGCTGATGATGATGATGATGGTGATGGTGATGAGGATGTTGATCATGATGATGATGATGAAGATGATGATGATGATGATGATGATAATGAAGAAGATGATGACGATAATGCTGATGACGATGACGATGTTGCTGATGATCATGATGATGATGACGGTGATGACGATTACGACGATGGCGATGATTACGATGATGACGATGCTGCTGACGCTAATGATGATGATACTGATGATGATGATGATGATGATGAGGCTGACGACGATGATGATCATCGTGATACTGATGCTGATGTTGATGATGATGACGATGCTGAGGGTGACGATGTCGATATATTGGGATGACGATTCTGATGATGGTGCTGATGCTGATGATGATGATCATGATGCTGGTGATGATGATTATGATGATGATGATGATGATGATGACGATGAATCTGATGACGACGATGCCGATGACGATGATGTTGATGATGACGATGACGATGATGATGACGATGCTGGTGCTGAGGAGGAGGAGAATGCTGATGATGATGCCGACGACGACGATGCTGGTGTGGTTAATGAATGTGACGAATGTGGTGATGATGCTTTTGACTATGCTGATGCTGATGTTGCTGCTGCTGATGATGCTGCTTATTGTAATGCTGCTGCTGATCAGGCTTCTGCTGATGATGATGTTTATGATGGTGGTGATGGTGATAATGCTTGTGCTGCTGCTGACGATGATGATGGTAATGATGATGATGATGGTGATGTTGGTTTCGCTGATGTTGATGCTGATGCTGATGATGCTGATGATGATGATGTGGTGATGGTGATGCTTATGATGATTCTGATGGTGATGATGCTGACGATGACGATGATGATGATACTGATGACGATGCTGATGCTGATAATGATGATTACGATGATAATGTTGATGATGATCATGATGATTGCGGTGGCTGTGATGCTGACGATGACGATGATCATGATGACGATGATGATGATGATGATGATGATGATGATGATACATATGACGATGATATGATGCTGATGATCATGATTCTGATGATGATGGTGATGGTGATGACGATGCTGATGATGATGAGGTTGCTCATGCTGATGCTGATGCTGATGTTGATTCTGATGATGATGATAAGGATGATGATGATGATGATGATGATGATGATGATGATGATGACGATGCTGCTGACGCTAATGATGATGATACTGATGATGATGATGATGATGATGATGATGATGATGATAAGGGGGATGATGACGATGATGCTGATGATGATCATGATGATGATCATGATGATGATGATGATGATGATGATGATGATGATGATGATGATGATGATGATGATGATGATGATGATGATGATGATGATGATACTGTTGATGATGATGATGATGAGGAGGAGGAGGATGATGATGATGATGCTGATGATGATGCTGATACAACGCGTCTGACACGGGCAACTCTGGTTCGATAGCCGCCCGAACCCGAACGTTTCCTTTCGGTGCATCGCGCGCAGCGACAGACCGTGCAACATGGCATCAGCGAGGACCTGCATTGCCACATGTTGTTGCACTTGCACACCGGCCGCGGCCAACTGCCGCAGCCTGAGAGAAGCAACTCGCCAGCACAGCGCAGCGTAATATTCGCCTCGGGGTTTACTCGCACAGCTCGGAGCCCGAGTCCGATTACTAGGTCAGGTGTGACAGCCGCGCATACCCAAGAGGGGCTGCTTCGCAGCTGCATTGACAGAAGCTGGCAGCCGTAGCGGCCAGCACGATCAGGCCCTGTCGCCGATCCAGATCGCAGCTCTGCCTTCGATTGCGGGCATGGGCCGCCTCCCACAGCCTCGAGGCCAGGGCTGCACAGGGGGCCTCCGTGCCCGCCTCGATCTCGCTCTTGTGCCTGCCCACCTCCGCGTCGAAGGCCGTGCGCCGTGCCCCAGCCGAAGCTTCCTCAGCTGCCTGGTGGGGCCCCAGCGCCAGGGCCAGGCGCCCCTCGAGAGCCTTCACCACCCCGAGGGCCACTTCCAGCTTGTCGCCCATGCCGTCGATGCCGTCGGAGGCGACTGGCCGCCCAGGCCTTCCTGAGATCATCGAGGATGGGGCCAATCTCCGCCGAGACCAGTCGCTGAAGTCCACCTCCGGGCTGCTCCGTGGTGTGCGATTGGCGATCGTGAGTGGTGGAGTCTTGCTGCTGGTACCCGTCGTGACGCTCAGGGACGCCAATGCTTTCCCGAGTGAGCGCCTCCTCACTCCTGACCTCCTCTTCTCCGTCCTCGTCGGCCGTCGGGTTGGGCTCGGGCTCGGTGTCGGGCACAACTGCAACAAAGGGCTCCGCCCCCTTCGCCTCGTCCTCGTCGAACCGGCCCGCCAACTCCGCGGCGGCCTTCCACCATCACGCGCCCGAGACGAAGGGTGGCCACGATGGGTTGGTCGGCGCTTCACAAGCGCTCCGAGAGCGCGAAGCGGGCTCCAGCCGGCAGGCTGTGCCCGCGCCTGCCAACGACGGCCCAGCTGCAGGGTAGTGCGTCGCAGTCCTCGCGTGCCTCGGGCAGCCGGCAGTGCGAGCGGCGGCATTGCGCCTCCGTGCTTCCAGTGTGCCCACTTGGGGGACGCGATCGCCCCTCGTTACCTCGGTAGCCAGGCCAGCCGCGAGCACGGGGGCCTCCAGTACCAGTCGCCCTGTGAGTTCCGCGCGGGACGCCCAGCCCTCGCGCTCGTCCACCCATGCGGCGGCCTGCTGGACAGTCGGGTACAGCTCCGCCAGGGCAACCGCTTCGCAGCGCCGTAGCCTAATGTACCTCCTGGGCCGTCGCGGGCCTCCCCTCCAAGCTCTCGACCTGCCGCTTTAGGTCCACCACGCGCTGGAGGGCTGCGTGCAGGGCGCTCCGCGGACGCCATCCGCGCTGCGCCATGTCTGGCGCGCCTTGCTGGCCAAAGCGACGCGCCTGCAGGCGCAGCGTCGTCAGGCTGCTCCGCCGCAGCGAGGACGGCCCTCTAGTTGGCCGCAGCCATTGCCTCTCGCACCAGGGAATGAGACCGAGCCGCTTTCCCCAACGAAGGAGACGGCACGCCGCGCACCTCGCCCGCCTGACAAAGGCCGGCTTTACGCATAATGGTTACGTTTGATGTTGATGATGATGACGATGACGATGGTAATGATGATGCTGTTGATGTTGATGTTGATGACGATGATGATGCTGATGATGATGTTGATGATGATGTTGAGGATGATAATGATGATGATGATGATGATGATGATGATGATGCTGAGGATGCTGACGATGATGCTGATGATGGTGATGATGATGACGATGCCGATGACGACGACGATGGTGATGTTGACGGTGCTGCTGATGATGATAATGTTGACGCTGACGCTGATGCTGGTGCTGATGATCATGCTGATGATTATGATTATTATGCTGCTGCTGTTGCTGATGATGACGATGAAGAGGATTATGATGTTACTTCTGCTGATCATGATGCGTTTGATGATGAAGACGACGGCAAGGACGCTGATGATAATGCTGCTGATGATGATCATGATGATGCTGATGATGCTGATGACGATGATGCTGATGCTGGTGATGATGGTGATGGTGATGGTGATGGTGGTGGTGGCGGTGATGATGATTATGATGAGGCTAATGATGATGATGATAATTGTGCTGATGCTGCCGCTGCTGCAGCTGCTGGTGACGATGATGATGCTGGTGGTGGTGAAGATGATGCTGCTGATGACGAGGATGATGACGACGATGATGATGAAGAAAATGATGGTGATGAGTGTGATGATTATAAGGATGATGGCGATGCTGCTGCTGATGATGATAATGCTGATGACGATGCTGATGCTGATGATGACGACGACGACCATGATGATGATGATGATGATGATGATGATGATGATGATGATGATGACGATGCTGACGCTGACGATGATGAGGAGGATGAGGATGATGACGATGATGGTGATGTGGCTGATGATGATGATGATGCGTATGCTGATTCTGGTGATGATGCTGATGATGATGCTGATGATGATGCTGATGCTGATGCTGGTGCTGATGATTCTGATGACGACGATAATGCTGATGCTGCTGATGACTATGATGCTGATGCTGGTGCTGATGCTGATGCAGATGGCGATGACCCTGACGCTCACGACGACAACGACGTCGACGACGACGATGCTGATGATGATGCTGCTGTTGATGATGATGATGATCATGACGATGCTGCTGATGATGATGACGACGATGATGATGGTGCTGATGATGCTTATGATGATGCTGCTGATGATGATGATGAGGAGGAGGAGGAGGAGGAGGAGGAGGCGGCGGAACAGGAAAAGGAGCAGTATGATGATGATGACGATGATCGTGGTGGTGGTGGTGATGATGATGAGGAGGAAAAGAAAACACAACATGTCACGCAGATTGAGGAGGACGGGGGGAAGGATGCTGATCAAGAGGAGGCTGGTCATGATGATGAGGAGGACGGAGTTGCGATGGAGAGGAAGAGGAGAAGGAGTAGGAGGAGGATTGATGATCATGGTCTGATGATGTCGATGGCGACGACGACGACCATACAAGCGACGTGAGGACGACGAGACGCCCGCCGCCAAGGCGCGAGCAGCGGCGTCTCGCGGAAGAGTTCCTGAAGAACCAGCGGGCGCGCGACGAGGCGCGCTCCGCGGACCGCTGGCGACTTCGTCGTCGTCGTAGGCGTCGTCGTCGTCGTCGTCGTCGTCGTCGTCGTCGTCGTCGTCGTCGTCGTCGGCGTGGTCGCTGACGGTCTGCGTCGTCTCGATACCGAACTCCTATTCGATCCTTCGTCTGTCCATGGAAGGAGAACAAAACGCACAAACATGCAGTTTCAGAGGTTCGCGCAGATCTCCGGCATCGGGTCGTCGCGTCTGGTGCCGCCCTGGCTCGCCTCGCGCGCCAGGGAGGGGCGGTGCAGCGTTAATCTTCAGGAGGGGGAAAACACACACACACAGACACAATTCATCGTCGATTCCCCAGAACCTATGGGAAAATATGGGAAGTGGGGGGGAAGACGAAAACCAGGAAAATATGGGAGAATATAGGGAATGCTGTTGTTTGTTTGTGTGTATTTATTTGTGTGTCCCAGGGTCCCTTCACAAGTCCCGCCACCGTGTCGGCGCAGTGCCCAGTGTGACGACGCTTCGAGCGCCGCCCAGGAGGTCATAAGATGTGACGGTCCTCGCCTCCATTCTTTGGGGGGCTCCCGCGAAGGGTATCTGAGCCGACTTGGGGCTGTCTTTGGGGTCCTGTTGGGCCCTCGTTGGGCCCTCTAGGGATTTTCTTCGGACTTTCTTGGTTCGCGTTGGGGCTCGTTTGGGCTGTCTTGATGCTACCTTGGACCTCTCGGCTGTCTGGGGAGTCCCACCGGGCTGTGCTGGAAGCTTCTTGGGGCCCTCTCGGGCGATCTCGGGGCCCCCGTGGGCTGTACTGGGCCCTCTTGGGCGGTCTTGGAAGCTCCTGGAGACCTTCGTCGGGTTCGCTTGGCGTCTCGTTGGCTCCTCCGAGGCCCTTCCTGAGCCATCTTGAGCCGAGAGGCCCAGGAGAACCGCACTACTCAAACTCTATGGTCAGGAGGGGGAAAAACGCACAAGCACAATTAATCGTCGATCCCCAGGAAAATACGGGAAGTGGGGGGGAAGACGAACATCCAGAAGATATGCGAAAGTATGGGGCATCCTGGGATTTGTGTCTATTCATCTGTGTGTCCCAGGGCCCCTTCATACTCAAACTCTAAAGGCTTCCCGTAGTTTTTTGAATGGTTGGGGACTTCATGTGCGGTCTCCTGGCCTTCATGTCTTGGCAGCCGCTTGGGACCCCTTGGAGCGCCTCTCTGGGTCTTCTTTGGAGGCTGGCGGGTGCCGCTTGTTGCAATATTGGGCCATTTTGGCGGCCTTGTTGGCCTCCCTGGGTTGTCTTGCAAGCCTTGGAATGCTCGGGACGGTGCCAGGGAGGTGCTGGGGCGTTCAGAGAGTCTCGGGAGGGGTGGAGGCCGATGCACGCGACAGTGCGTGGCGAGATGGGGGGGGGTCCCAAGACTTAGAGAAGCCCTACCAGACAGCTGCACGTAGCATTCTACCACACCTCGGCGTGTCAGTAGGCACGACGGCGAATAAGGAGTGATACCAGGGCACACCAGCATATCGAGAAGCTCTGACACGCGCAAGTCGTGGTTGTCGTCGGGGTCGTCATTGTCGTCGTGGTCGAGGTGATCGGCGTCGCTGTCGCCGTCGTCGTGGTGGTTCCCGTCGTTGTCGTCGTCCTGGGTCGAGGAACGAGGACCGAGGATCCAGTGTCGAGGATCGAGATCTTGCACGTTGGTGGTCTTCTTTCGGGCCTCCGCTCGATGCTTCCGAAGGCTTCTGGAGGCCTCCGGGGACCTCCAGTGGCTTCTGGAAACCTCCAATGAGCTGCGGAGATCTGTGGAGGTGGAGGTCCGCTCTGCCGCCGTCGTTGTTTTCGTCTTTGTCGTTATTATTGTTGTTGTAGCCTTCATCGGCGTAGTCGGCGTTGTCGTCATCGTTGTCGTGGTGGTCGTCGTGGTGATGGTCGTCGCCACCGCCGCCGTGGTCGTCGCCGTGGTCGTCGCCGTGCTCGTGGTCGCTGGCCGCCGTCGCTGCCGTCATCGTCGTCGCCATCGTCGTCGTCGTCGTCGTCGTCGTCGTCGTCGTCGTCGTCGTCATCATAATCATCATCATCATCATAATCGTAGCCATTTCCAGGTTTCGAGCTTTGAGCTTTCTCGACCTTTCGGCCAGCGCACTTGGAAGTGGAGCAGCTGGTCGGAGCCAATCCTACATGACAAAAAATGACCCGCCGTGGCAGACCCAGAAGCGATCATGGGGGTGCCGCTGCGGATTTCTCAACTTCCACTTCAGGACGTCGTGCCGTGAATGTGGATCGAGAGCACCTTCGCATATCCTGCAGGCGAGACAGCAGCATGGAGGCAGTGGTGGGGCCAAGCCTGGGCCAAGTCCCAACCGCTGGCTCCATGGCCCCCCGCGGGGGCTCGGCGCAAGGGGAAGCGCCAAGGCCCGTGACCCCAGCGAGCTCACGGCCTCGCAGTTGGTGGAGCTGCTGCAGGCGAAGGGCGTGGCCAAGGGCACCCAGCTGGCCACAGATCTCGAAGCGGCGCTCAAGCAGTCTGAGGTGGTCAAGCCTGCGGACCTGGCTTCCAAGAGCCTCCAGGACTTGCTGCAGCGCAAGCAGAAGAAGATCAAGCAGATCGAGAGCTCCACCCAACGGGTGGCGGCGGCCAAGCTTGCCATGGAGCAGGCTCGCCAGGCTTTCGAGGAGGAGCGGGACCAGCTGGACAAGCACAGTGAGAGCTTGGCTGAGCTGGAGAACCACATCAGGGACGCCCAACGCACCAGTGTCCTGCCAGAGGCCCCAGCTGACGGAGTGGAGGCCGACCCCAAGCAGGAGATCGCCATGCTGGACATCATGGAGCAGTGCCTGCGCAAGTACGGAACCAGGTTCGGCTTCCAGGCAGACACCCTCTTGGCGCAAGCTGCGTCCAAGCGTGAGGAGTTCGAGGCGAGGATCCCCAAGCCAGACACGGAGACAGGCCCTGCTGCTGGGGCTGGTGGTGCCGCTCCCAGGAGCCCTGGCGGCGCTGGCGTGGCCCCTGGAGGTCCTGCAGCAGGGGCCCCACCTCAGCCCGAGTACGACCCTGACGACGAGCGCGTCAGGGAGGCCTTCGCCGCCGCAGGCTTTGACGGCGGCCAGGACCCCGACAAGTTCAAGCGGCTGCTGGAGAGTCTTGGCTCACTGGCGAAGCGTCAACGAATGGGGTAGCCCGTCTATTCCGTCGGACCTGCTCCTCTGGCAGCACAACGCCATCGACCTCGACTGGCCCGACCTGGGCTTCCCTGTGCCGCTAGCCAGACCAGAATCAGGCTTCAGCGCCGACGCCCAGAGGTGGGCCAAGGAGGATGCCGCCCCTCGGGTCAGGAGGACCCTCGGAGAGGGTGTCGGCACATGTACGGCGGCTTCGAGTGCTTCGAGGCCGATTGCCTTGTCTACAGGTGACGCACGCTCGTCCCCTGAGAAAGCGGAGTCTTCGCCAGGCGAGGGCTCGCTGGAGGGGCAGCGCAGCGAGCCACATGCTCCGAGACCCACTGGCCCTGAGAGACCCCTGGTCGAGGCCTCGGCCGACATCAGCGGAGTCTTGGGGCCAGCAGAGCGGAGGTCGATTGCCGCGGCTTCTGCTACTGGGGCATCTTCCTCGGCGCGGGAGGCGGCTCGTGGAACTTCGTCAGCGTGCGGGGACCCGCCTTCCAGGCCGTCTACGACTTCGGCGCTCGAAAGTCAGAACGCAGCTCCCAGGTGCTCCTCGAGCCTGGGGGCTTCAAGTGCTGTGTGCAGCCAGGCCCCTCATGTGAGTGTTGGGGCCTCCCCGTCCAAACCTTTTGCTCGATGCGATGAGAGAAATCATGTAAGTCAGAACGCGGGGGTCGAGCGCGCCTCGAACTCGCCCCCCTCGCGAGTACATTGTGAGAATGGAGCGAGAGCAGTTGGGCAGGAGGAGGTGCAGAGCCTCGAAGTTTGGAGTGCCAACGTTACGACCTGGTCTTCGGGCCAAGCACTGTTGGAGTGGGCTCGGCAGGATCGGGCTGGTGAGGGACAAGCAGTGGATGATGCATCAGCTATGCCTCAAGTTGTCTGCCTTCAGGAACACCGACAGAAGACGGCGATGCAGATCTCCTCGGCGCAGGGTTGGCTTCGCAAGAGAGGGTTTCAGCAAGCTTTCAATGCAGCGCAATCCACGGGTGACGATTTGCTTGAGTCCAGTGGAGGAGTGGCGGTGCTCAGTCGAGTCCCTGCCGTCGAGAGTGAGGTGCTGAAGACCAGCGCGCTGCCGCGGCATCGGTTCGCCTGCGTGACCTGCAACGTCGGCCTGGCCAGGCCCCTCTACATCCTGTCGGTCTACCTCATCACCTCGGTTGGTTTCAAAGGCAATATCGACCTGCTCGCGGAGCTGATGGACTTTGTCGGCGCGCTGGACGGGCCGTGGCTCATCCTGGGTGACTGGAACCTGCTGCCAGAGGAGCTGGCCGACTGGATGGGCAAATCACGTGGCCTCCTTCTCCACGCGGGCGAGCCCACCTGTGGGCCGAGGGAGTACGACTTTGGGATTTGCTGTGGCCTCCTGGGCTCCTTCGTGGACTCGGTCAAGCTGCTAGGGGGGCCCCCCATCCAGACGCATCTGGCGATCACAGTTGTACTCAAGGGCTTGGGACCAGCAGCGAGGATCACCAGACCTGACTGCCCGCTCAAGTTTCCCATTGAAAAACCGCCTCCAGTTAGGGAGGCGCCCATGGAGGCTTCCATCGATTCCTGGTCCTGGACGATCGGTGTGGCGCCCCCAGCTGATCTCGGTGAGGCGTGTGCTAAAGCGGAAGCCTATCTTGTGGAGTTTCACGACATGGACGTCTGGAGTCGTAAGCTCTGGCAAGGTAGAGGCAAAGGTTTTAAAACAGTCACTGAGCTGTTTTCAACGACGTGGGATCGTTCCCTCAAGCAGACCACTTCAGTTGAATATAGGAAATGGGCGAGGTTCTATTCGGCGGCCTTTCGCCTGTGTGCCCTGGGCTCGGCAGCCAGAGATCGACGGGGGCCCAACCTCGCGGCGTTGAG